CTACGAGATTAAGAAGAAATTGCTTAACAGAAGAAGATTTTGATAAACGCAGCAACGAATATCAAAAGTACTTAACAAGGAGAGGATGCCATCCGAATAATGTACACAAGCAATTCAATAAAGCGAAGTCAATTTCCAGAGAGGAACTACTGCAACATACCACGAGAGAGAAGAGAATTTTATTTCCGTTGGTTGTCGACTTCAACCCCAGGCTTCCCGATATAGGAAAAATCCTGAAGAAACATTTTCACCTTATCCAAGATTCACCAGAGTTACAAGAGATCTTCCACCTAGATCTATAATACCATTCTTCGGAAGGCCAAAATCTATCAAAGAAATTCTTTCTACGAAAAGACGGCAGGAAACGAGCGGGGATCAAAGTCCAAAGAAGTGTTATAAATGTGGAAAGAAGTGCGACTTTTGCAACAACTACATGCATGAGTCTAGTACATTTGTCAGTAGTCAGACGGGGGTAAAGTTCCCAATTAAACAGAACATTTGTTGCAATTCTCAAAATGTTGTGTACCTAGTTACATGTATTAAGTGCTCACGGCAATACATTGGATCCACGAGCACAGAACTGAAGGTCCGCTTCCGGCAATACATTGGATCCACGATGATTAACAATAAAAGGACATGTGAAGTAGCGACGCATTTCAACAAAACACCGCATGATTTGTCTGACTTGAAGTTTATAGGTATAGAACAAATAGTAAATGACAGTGATTCAAACACTATTGAGAAGCGATTGTTGACAAGAGAAGCATACTGGAGTGCGCAGTTATGCACTTTAAAACCTTACGGTCTCAATAAGAGATGTGAATTCAGGTCGAAGAACAGAATAAACTTTAGTAATTAGAAACAATTTAATTATTTCGCAATAATAGGCCATATTTTTAAACATCATTCTCATTTAGTCCTTAATTAGTTCTTAATTATTCATAGGCTAGGTTATAAATCGCATGAGTTAACTTCCTTGTGTTTTTAACTTTTTACACTGATGAAGCCTGTTTTGGCGAAACGTTTGTAATAAAACATTATTATTGATCTGTCTGGAGTTCGCCTTTCCTTCTGTATACCTATATATATATATATATATATATATATATATATATATATATATATATATATATATATATATATATATATATATATATATATATATATATATATATATATATATATATATATATATATATATTCATATAATAAAAACACAATAGAAACAATCTGTAATAATTATTTTATTTCAGCATGAACAGCATTACTAATTACATTACAAATAACTCAAACGAGTTTAATTTTTTTATAACTTCACTCGCAGGCTCAGTCTCAGATTGGGTGCAAATTGCAAACAATAATCAAAAAGTTATGATGCTGCACTAGAACGACAATCGTCATTTCCAACGAAAAAGAAGTACATGAAAGCATACAATAAGCCATAGACTAATATGTAAATGCGAGACAAACTTTCTGTACCGGTGAGGTGAAGACTGGTGCAATTTTCTGTGCAAGTCTATTAAATTAATATAGAAATAGTAAAAGAATAACATGGAAATTATGTGTCACCACATGTCATCACTCATCATGAGCCACCACATTTGAATGGATATTTCTCGTATAACTCTGGCCATCTATTAAAAAAATAAAACTTATAGTAAAAGAAATATATCATTGGCTCACCACATTTGAGTCGATATTTCCCTTATAACTCTGGTCATCTAATAAAAAAATTAATAGACCTAATAGCAATCTAAGCAATTTTAGGGTCACCACATTCAAGTCAAATGGTTATTACCTCAGGAAAAGTTATATCATGAGCTACCACATTTGAGTGGATATTCCCCCTATAACTCTGGTCATCTAAATATAAAAAATAAAACCTATAGTAAAAGAAAGATATGAAATTATATTTTGGGGTCACCACATTCAAGTGGTTTAATATCTCCCCAGGAAGAGTTGTATCATAGGCTCACCGCATTGAGTGGATATTTCCCGTATAACTCTGGTCATGTAAATGAAATTATATTTTGGTGTCATATAGCACATTCAAGTCAAGTGGTTATCTCTCGAGGAAGAGTTATAGTTATAATGGTCCACCACATTTGAGTGGATATTTCCCTTATAACTCTTGTCATTTTATTAAAAAATTAATAGACCTTTATATAGTAAAAGCAAGATATAAAATTATATTTGGGGGTCACCACATTTAAGTCAAGTGGTTATCTCCCCAGGAATAGTTATATCACGAGTCACCACATTTGAGTGGATCTGTAGATATTTCCCCTATCGCCTGTATTCTAGCTAAAATCTAACTCATTCTCACACTCAATGAGTGGAGGTTCGATCTGAGCTTCTCTTGAGTGTCATTGCTGTTTTGGCAAAGCTGGGGAGTTAGTATCGAACCTTACTATGTGACTACTCACCCTCCACCTATTCAAAAACAACATTGACACTCAAGGTAAGCTCG